CTTCAGACGGGTCTAAAAGTTCTCTGCAAGAAGGTCCTGGGTTTGAATCCACCTCCAAACGTTTCTGCGGAGGTTTCCTCCAGGTGCTGTGGTCTCTTCTAACACTAAAACCATGTACAATAGCGTCCCGCTCTCTGGGGCCTGGACTCCACTAAAAATAGATTCTTGGACTGGTCTTACTTCAGCCAACCCCCTTTCTAAACCTTTAGTATTGTTTTTGAACAATAAACATTTAAATTAAAGGAATAGTTCACCGTTTTTACATACTGACATATGTTCTTACCTTACCTTAGACTAGTTAATACGTACCTGTCTAGTCTTAGTCCGTGCGCTCTGTCATGCAAACGGAGCAAAAACTGGAGCACAACCGCAGCCTCCTCTGTATATTTTGTAGCACCAAAAGGTAGCTCCCGCTAGAAGCTACCAAACTCTTCCAAGTGTTCCCTATTAAATGTATATAGTTACGTGACGTGTTACACTGCAAAGTATAGTAACACAGAAATGTAACAGTCGATTTTCTCAGCGGATAAAACGGGTACTATATTGTGAGGCGTAGTAATCTGAGGTGCGCTACGTCCGCGCACTAACTTCTCTCCGGAGACTTCTCTCTCGCTCACTTCCGTCAATAGAAGCAGCGTGACTTGTAGTACACACAGTAGCAGCGAGAGAGAAGTCTCTGGAGAGAAGTTAGTGCGCGGACGTAGCGCTCCTAACTTCTCTGCGCACTAACTTCTCTCCGGAGACTTCTCTCTCGCTGCTACTGTGTGTACTACAAGTCACGCTGCTTCTATTGACGGAAGTGAGCGAGAGAGAAGTCTCCGGAGAGAAGTTAGTGCGCGGACGTAGCGCTCCTCAGATTACTACGCCTCACAATATAGTACCCGTTTTATCCGCTGAGAAAATCGACTGTTACATTTCTGTGTTACTATACTTTGCAGTGTAACACGTCACGTAACTATATACATTTAATAGGGAACACTTGGAAGAGTTTGGTAGCTTCTAGCGGGAGCTACCTTTTGGTGCTACAAAATATACAGAGGAGGCTGCGGTTGTGCTCCAGTTTTTGCTCCGTTTGCATGACAGAGCGCACGGACTAAGACCAGACAGGTACGTATTAACTAGTCTAAGGTAAGGTAAGAACATATGTCAGTATGTACAAACGGTGAACTATTCCTTTAAATGAAAGTCAGTAAATGCAGCTAAATGTATGCAGTGGTCGGCTCTCCTCTCCGCTGATATGACCCGGAAGTAAAGTCTTACTTTTATCCAATGCAGATGGACCTTTAAACACCAAGCTAAAAAAATAAAACTTTAAGAATGTCTCGAGCAAAAGGCAAAACTTCCCCAAGAAAGTTGCACAATGCAGTGATTTACTAATGTCAGCTTAAATCAAACACACACACACGCTTTACAGTATAGACTGGGAACACACACACACACACTCAAAAGTCTGCACACAGAACACACACACACAGAGCTTGTGTGTGTGTGTGTGTGTGTGTGTCCCTGGAGGGGCCTTTGTTAGCAATACCCCACAACAAGAGTGCTTCCCTTATCTGCACAGCCACTACAAGAAAATCCCAGGATACAACCTCTCCCTACCCGTCGGCCCAGTCCTGTCACGCAACTCTGCTGAAGGAGGGAAGGGGCCCCCCGGACACTCCCCAACACACACACACACAGACACACACATACACACACAGACACACACACACACACACAGACACACACCTCTTCTGACACGCTGCTCTCTCTATGAACAAACATGTGTTGAAGGACAATGCTTTGGCACAGAGTGTGTGACTGGTATAAACTCGCCTCAGCTCCTCTTAAGAACACACAACAACACACAACAACACACAACCAACACACAACCTGCAGAGTCCAGAATGTGGTTCCAGCACCAAACCCTTTTTCCTGCTTCCTCAGAGTTTGCGTGAGTTGGCGAGCCTCTTTGGGAATGTTTGTTTTGATTGAAGGTTTTGTGTTGCTCCTGATGCTGTTGTTTCCTCTGAGATATATTTAACCTTAACTCTCTGCACCAATGAAATGTCATGTCACAAATATGTTCTCCTTTCATCGTGCTCCGTAGCTGTGATTGGCCAAAGGTATTCTTTGTGTCCTGAGTGAAAAACAAGGAAACCTAAAACGCAGAACTGCAAAATAATGGATCTAATAAAATTATCAAGATCACAGGGACCGAGGACAAGACCGAAAACAGACGAGGAATGACAGACCAGAGCACAGAGGATTCATGGTTTTACACTGGTCCAGACCAGAGCAGAGAGGATTCATGGTTTTACACTGGTCCAGACCAGAGCACAGAGGATTCATGGTTTTACACTGGTCCAGACCAGAGCAGAGAGGATTCATGGTTTTACACTGGTCCAGACCAGAGCAGAGAGGATTCATGGTTTTACACTGGTCCAGACCAGAGCAGAGAGGATTCATGGTTTTACACTGGTCCAGACCAGAGCAGAGAGGATTCATGGTTTTACACTGGTCCAGACCAGAGCAGAGAGGATTCATGGTTTTACACTGGTCCAGACCAGAGCAGAGAGGATTCATGGTTTTACACTGGTCCAGACCAGAGCAGAGAGGATTCATGGTTTCACACTGGTCCAGACCAGAGCAGAGAGGATTCATGGTTTTACACTGGTCCAGACCAGAGCAGAGAGGATTCATGGTTTCACACTGGTCCAGACCAGAGCAGAGAGGATTCATGGTTTTACACTGGTCCAGACCAGAGCAGAGAGGATTCATGGTTTTACACTGGTCCAGACCAGAGCAGAGAGGATTCATGGTTTTACACTGGTCCAGACCAGAGCAGAGAGGATTCATGGTTTTACACTGGTCCAGACCAGAGCAGAGAGGATTCATGGTTTTACACTGGTCCAGACCAGAGCAGAGAGGATTCTTATATTTTGCATCATGTGACCCATACATTGCAGCCCATAGAGTCAGACGTCTGTTGTTTTTGTATTAAAGACCTTATGCCGGGTTTAAAAAAAAAAAAATGTGGATCTCAAAATTGCATGACAATGTCAATCTGAAAGAGATTCCGGCAAAAAAAATCCTATATTTTATAAAAAGAACGTGTTTTTCATGAATTTAAGCTGTCTATGCTCTAACCTGTGTGTGACGTCACAGCGGGTTACGCCCATGCATTGAAAACCATGGATCTATGCCACAGGACTGCCTTTTCTCTCTTCTCTCCACTGATGCCCAACACAATACTGCCCTCTACAGGTGACAATTGCTCACTACACATAAATTGCCGTTTTGAGAGTGAAAATGTGTCTGAGGTGGGATTTGAACCCCAATATCTGGATTGGCAGTCCATCGACACAACCACTGGACTATCTCAGTGACAACGCAGTGATACATTCTAGTAGTAATCTCAGACTTGCTGTACACGGCCTTGTCATCTTGAATATCGGCGAAAAAAGAACGAATACCAAATTGTAAACAACTTACAGCGTTGAAACGTACCCGCTCTGACGTCACCAAGGGCTGTGAAGTTTTTTCGTCTCTAAGGGCGTTGCTATGGGGTTATTTCGATTTGGGGGGATCAGACAAAAAAAACAACAACTGATTTTGAAACCTTTAGTAGTTCTCTTCTAATATAAAATGGTATTAAAACTGTATTTCTAAATAAATCAAACCCGGCATAAGGTCTTTAAAGCAACTCAACCTAAATTCTCCTCCTTTCAAACCATGTACTTGCACTTTTCATCTAATCACATTTAAGGTAAGAATGTGTTCTTTTTTTTGTGGAAAGCCCTGACGCTCTCCTCTATCCTGGAGTCACCTGTGTTTCACTGGCCCCTCCCACCGGCTCCTCCCACTGGCCCCTCACACCGGCTCCTTCCACTGGCCCCTCACACCGGCTCCTTCCACTGGCCCCTCACACCGGCTCCTCCCACTGGCCCAGTGTTTACAGTTTTTCTCAGTGGCTTTGGTGCATTTCTCAGACTTAAAGTTCTCAAAACTATTAGTTCAACCTCCACAACAGTGAGTCATGTGTGACATCATGTGTGACATCATGTGTGACATCATCACAACAGTTTCTCCTCTGAACAGATTACAAATGCTTTTGGACCTGTATCAGTTACTTTCATTCAATTCTCTGCTGATTTTTAACATTATCATTTGCTTCTGTCAGAATGAAACATTCTTATGACTTCTGAAAAGTCTTTCCCTATAAAACCAATAGTCCTCATTTCATCGCTTTGGTCTCACATACACAACTGTCAAACTAATTTACTAACATACAGTACATACTACAGTATATACAGTACATACTACAGTACATACAGTACATACTACAGTATATACAGTACATACTACAGTATATACAGTACATACTACAGTACATACAGTACATACTACAGTATATACAGTACATACTACAGTACATACAGTACATACTACAGTACATACAGTACATACTACAGTACATACAGTACATACTACAGTACATACAGTACATACTACAGTACATACTACAGTATATACAGTACATACAGTACATACAGTACATACAGTACATACTACAGTACATACAGTACAAACTACAGTATATACAGTACATACTACAGTATATACAGTACATACTACAGTACATACAGTACATACTACAGTATATACAGTACATACTACAGTACATACAGTACATACTACAGTACATACAGTACATACTACAGTACATACAGTACATACTACAGTACATACTACAGTACATACAGTACATACTACAGTACATACAGTACATACTACAGTACATACAGTACATACATACAGTACATACTACAGTACATACAGTACATACATACAGTACATACTAAAGTACATACAGTACAAACATACAGTACATACATACAGTACATACATACAGTACATACATACAGTACATACATACAGTACACACAGTACATACAGTACAAACAGTACATACAGTACATACATACAGTACATACATACAGTACATACAGTACACACAGTACATACTACAGTACATACAGTACATATATACAGTACATACAGTACATACTACAGTACACACAGTACATACAGTACATACATACAGTACATACTACAGTACACACAGTACATACAGTACATACATACAGTACATACTACAGTACAAACAGTACACACAGTACATACAAACAGTACATACAGTACATATATACAGTACATACAGTACATACTACAGTACACACAGTACATACAGTACATACATACAGTACATACTACAGTACATACATACAGTACATACAGTACATACTACAGTACATACAGTACATACAGTACATACTACAGTACATACAGTACATACATACAGTACATACTACAGTACATACAGTACATACATACAGTACATACAGTACATACTACAGTACATACAGTGCATACATACAGTACACACACAGTACATACAGTACATACATACAGTACACACAGTACATACTACAGTACATATACACACACACATATATGTCAGTTACGTCTCTAAATACAGTCTGTGTAACTTTACTGTAGTTGTTACTGTAAATGGCCGTACAGGTCGTGTGTAGAGCTCTAGTCGTGCTCAAGTGTCATTTTTTACACTGAAAACACAAAGAGAGTAAACTTTCACAATGAAAACATGACTAAGTCATGTGACTGTTGTTCATACTCAATGTTGTTAGGACTTATTATTTTGCAGACACAGACAGTTTCATTGACACGAAGACTTGCTTTTGAGGAATTGATAGATAGATAGATAGATAGATAGATAGATAGATAGATAGATAGATATATGGATAGATAGATAGATAGATAGATAGATAGATAGATAGATAGATAGATAGATAGATAGATAGATATATGGATAGATAGATAGATAGATAGATAGATATATGGATAGATAGATAGATAGATAGATAGATATATGGATAGATAGATAGATAGATATATGGATAGATAGATGGATAGATAGATACATAGATAGATACATAGATAGATAGATAGATAGATAGATATATGGATAGATAGATAGATAGATAGATATATGGATAGATAGATGGATAGATAGATGGATAGATGGATAGATGGATATATAGCTTACAGGCACAGAGAGAGAGACGTGAGTGAATGATGTTCATGTTGGTCCCGGGCTGGAGTGGAGATCCCGTGGTTGTGCGTCTCGGTTTGCACAGACCAGACACACTATTGTTCCTGGAGCCATGAATATTTAAGGAGGACGCTGCAGGCATCAGAATAATATCCAGTGTCTCTGTCGGCTCAGAATGATAAAATAAAGTTCTGGTATGACTTGAGATCATGAAAGGCAGAAATGAAAGGTTATTTTTTACTTAATGTTTCACAGACGTCTTTCAAAGACAAGATGTAATTCAGATTTGTGAGTGGACCTTTTCCAGCACCAAACTACAGCCTCTCCAAAACCCCGGCAATTATAGGATTGGTTTTGCAGAGAGCTTTTCATGTAGGATTTACTTTGGTTGACGGTCTCCCCCAGCGAGGCAACAAGGTAAGGCCTGGAGGAGTCTGACATGTTTCATTACCGGGCAATTAAAGTGCCGTCAAAGTGCTGTGGGGCAGAGGAGTTTACACAGACAGGGTTCAGTCTGACGAATACATGTTTGAAGTCTGAAAAGTCAAAAAACGGTTTGGGCACACACTCAAAAACACAGATCAGTTAAAGAAGTGAAAACATGAATGACTGGTGTGGACTTAAAAGCACTTTACACAAGTATAAACTTATCTCCTGTGAGAATACTGAACACTGCGATCATGTACATACATACATTATTATTATGAAGCATTTACAGTTAAAGTGATGTCTGCAGTTTGTCAGAAAGAGAGAGAGAGGTGCTTGATTTGAAAAAAACGACCCAAGCTCCTCCCCCTTCCTTTCTGATTGGTCTACGCCTACTTTACCGTAACACGTGTAAATGTTAATCAGAGAACACATTATACATATACATTATTAATACATATGCACGGAGGTTTTCAGAATTATCTGTTCACGTTTTAATGAAAAAAATAATGTTTTTATGCACACAAAAAAGCGATCGCGGCAAACCAGGAAGTGCTGTTATCATATTATAGGACACATCTGCAGAGGATCTGATTATGGATATAGGTTCATATATAAACTAGAAATGGTACAATGGCTGAAGCCATTGTGAGTGGCTGCATAGATGTTGGAAGGGTTAGGGATGAAGAAGGAAGAGGAAGGGGAAGAAGAAGGAAGAAGAAAGAAAAGGGAAGAAGAGGAAAGAAGAAGAAGGAAGAGGAGGAGGAAGAAGAAGAAGGGGAAGAAGGGGAAGAAGAAGAAGGGGAAGAAGGGGAAGAAGAGGAAGAAGGGGAAGATGAGGAATAAGAGGAAGAAGGGGAAGAAGAGGAAGAAGAGGAAGAAGGGGAAGAAGAGGAAGAAGGGGAAGAAGAGGAAGAAGTGAAGAAGATGAAGTAAGAAGAATGTGTTGTAAGGGGCTGAAAGTGTTGTAAAGTGCTGAATGTGTTGTAAGGTGTTGTAAAGTGCTAAATGTGTTGTAAAGTGCTGAATGTGTTGTAATGTGCTGAATTTGTTGTAAAGTGCTGAATGTGTTGTAAAGTGCTAAATGTGTTGTAAAGTGCTGAATGTGTATTCAAGTGCTAAATTTGTTGTAAAGTGCTAAATGTGTTGTAAGGTGTTAAATTTGTTGTAAAGTGCTAAATGTGTTGTAAGGTATTGAATGTTTTGTAAAGTGCTAAATGTGTTGTAAGGTGTTGAATGTGTTGTAAAGTGCTAAATGTGTTGTAAGGTGTTGAATTTGTTGTAAAGTGCTAAATGTGTTGTAAGGTTTTGAATTTGTTGTAAAGTGCTAAATTTGTTGTAAGGTGTTGAATTTGTGTTAAAGTGCTAAATGTGTTGTAAGGTGTTGAATTTGTGTTAAAGTGCTAAATTTGTTGTAAGGTGTTGAATTTGTTGTAAAGTGCTAAATGTGTTGTAAGGTGTTGAATTTGTGTTAAAGTGCTAAATGTGTTGTAAGGTGTTGAATTTGTTGTAAAGTGCTAAATGTGTTGTAAGGTGTTGAATTTGTGTTAAAGTGCTAAATGTGTTGTAAGGTGTTGAATTTGTGTTAAAGTGCTAAATGTGTTGTAAGGTGTTGAATTTGTTGTAAAGTGCTAAATGTGTTGTAAGGTGTTGAATGTGTTGTAAAGTGCTAAATGTGTTGTAAGGTGTTGAATTTGTTGTAAAGTGCTAAATGTGTTTTAAGTTGTTGAATGTGTTGTAAAGTGCTAAATGTGTTGTAAGGTGTTGAATTTGTTGTAAGGTGCTAAATGTGTTGTAAGGTGTTGAATTTGTTGTAAAGTGCTAAATGTGTTGTAAGGTGTTGAATTTGTTGTAAAGTGCTAAATGTGTTGTAAGGTGTTGAATTTGTTGTAAGGTGCTAAATATGTTGTAAGGTGTTGAATTTGTTGTAAGGTGCTAAATGTGTTGTAAGGTGCTATAAGTGTTGTAAGGTGTAGAATTTGTTGTAAAGTGCTAAATGTGTTGTAAAGTGCTGAATGTGTTGTAAAGTGCTGAATTTGTTGTAAAGTGCTGAATGTGTTGTAAAGTGCTAAATGTGTTGTAAAGTGCTGAATGTGTATTCAAGTGCTAAATGTGTTGTAAAGTGCTAAATGTGTTGTAAGGTGTTGAATTTGTTGTAAAGTGCTAAATGTGTTGTAAGGTATTGAATGTTTTGTAAAGTGCTAAATGTGTTGTAAGGTGTTGAATGTGTTGTAAAGTGCTAAATGTGTTGTAAGGTGTTGAATTTGTTGTAAAGTGCTAAATGTGTTGTAAGGTTTTGAATTTGTTGTAAAGTGCTAAATTTGTTGTAAGGTGTTGAATTTGTGTTAAAGTGCTAAATGTGTTGTAAGGTGTTGAATTTGTGTTAAAGTGCTAAATGTGTTGTAAGGTGTTGAATTTGTTGTAAAGTGCTAAATGTGTTGTAAGGTGTTGAATGTGTTGTAAAGTGCTAAATGTGTTGTAAGGTGTTGAATTTGTTGTAAAGTGCTAAATGTGTTTTAAGTTGTTGCTGCTAAATGTGTTGTAAGGTGTTGAATTTGTTGTAAAGTGCTAAATGTGTTGTAAGGTGTTGAATTTGTTGTAAAGTGCTAAATGTGTTGTAAGGTGTTGAATTTGTTGTAAAGTGCTAAATGTGTTGTAAGGTGTTGAATTTGTTGTAAGGTGCTAAATATGTTGTAAGGTGTTGAATTTGTTGTAAGGTGCTAAATGTGTTGTAAGGTGCTATAAGTGTTGTAAGGTGTAGAATTTGTTGTAAAGTGCTAAATGTGTTGTAAGGTGTTGAATGTGTTATAAAGTGCTAAATGTGTTGTAAGGTGTTGAATTTGTTGTAAGGTGCTGAATGTGTTGTAAGGTGTTGAATTTGTTGTAAGGTGCTAAATGTGTTGTAAGGTGTTGAATGTGTTGTAAAGTGCTAAATGTGTTGTAAGGTGTTGAATTTGTTGTAAAGTGCTAAATGTGTTGTAAGGTGCTGCAAGTTTTGTAAGATGCTGTAATGTATTGTATCTGTGGTAATGAATTGTTAGTGTGGTAATGTGTTGTATGGGGAGTAATCTGTTGTACTGGTCCAATGTAAGTCTATGGGAAAAAGTGCTTGAACTTTTGTTAATATCTGAAAAAGTGCTAAAGGTGGAAGTGTGAAAAGTAATAGCAATAATGAGACGGTGAAGCCGGTCGTAACGATGTATAATTTGTTGAATTTGGTGAAAGCGTTGAAGAGTTGAAAAGTGCCAAAATCTGGCGGAAGTGGAAGAAGAAGAAGAAGAAGAAGAACTAGAAACTTGCAATGGCTGAAGCCATTGCGATTGACTGCGGAACAGATCTAATGTGGAAATCTGCTAAAAAAAATCCTTGAAATCCTTTAAAAAGCCTTGAAACTGTTAAAATACTTGATAGATATTTGAAACTCCTGAAGTCCTTGAAATTGTTGAAACCTTTAAACTCCTGAAATCCTTGAAACTGTTGAAACATTGAAACTCCTGAAATCCTTGAAACTTTTTTAAACCTGGAAACTGTTGAAAGTGTGGAAACTCCTGAAATCCTTGAACCTCCTGATATCCTTGAAACTGGTTAAATTCTTAAACAGCTGAAATCCTTGAAACTACTGAATGTATTGAAAGTGTCCTTGAAACTGAAAAATCCCCTCACCGCTGAAACAATTTGGTTCCTGTAACTAAGGAAACCTGGTCTGTGGTCATTATCTGGTGGTGGTCTGAGTCTTCGTTTGGGTCTTGGTCTGGTGGTATAATGCAACCTATTAGGTTGCATTATACATGAAAAAACCCTATTAAGTTGCATTATACTGGTTTACATGAAAAAAACCCTATTAAGTTGCATTATACTGGTTAACATGAAAAAAACCCTATTAAGTTGCATTATACTGGTTTACATGGAAAAATCCCTATTAAGTTGCATTATACTGGTTTACATGGAAAAATCCCTATTAAGTTGCATTGTACTGGTTTACATGGAAAAACCCCTATTAAGTTCCATTATACTGGTTTACATGTAAAAAAAAACCCTATTAAGTTGCATTATACTGGTTTACATGGAAAAATCCCCATTAAGTTGCATTATACTGGTTTACATGAAAAAAAAACCCTATTAAGTTGCATTATACTGGTTTACATGAAAAAAACCCTATTAAGTTGCATTATACTGGTTTACATGGAAAAATCCCTATTAAGTTGCATAATACTGGTTTACATGGAAAAATCTCCATTAAGTTGCATTATACTGGTTTACATGAAAAAAACCCTATTAAGTTGCATTATACTGGTTTACATGGAAAAATCCCTATTAAGTTGCATTGTACTGGTTTACATGGAAAAATCCCTATTAAGTTGCATTATACTGGTTTACATGAAAAAAACCCTATTAAGTTGCATTATACTGGTTTACATGTAAAAACCCCTATTAAGTTGCATTATACTGGTTTACATGTAAAAACCCCTATTAAGTTGCATTATACTGGTTTACATGGAAAAATCCCTATTAAGTTGCATTATACTGGTTTACATGGAAAAATCCCTATTAAGTTGCATTATACTGGTTTACATGGAAAAATCCCTATTAAGTTGCATAATACTGGTTTACATGGAAAAATCTCCATTAAGTTGCATTATACTGGTTTACATGAAAAAAACCCTATTAAGTTGCATTATACTGGTTTACATGGAAAAATCCCTATTAAGTTGCATTGTACTGGTTTACATGGAAAAATCCCTATTAAGTTGCATTATACTGGTTTACATGAAAAAAACCCTATTAAGTTGCATTATACTGGTTTACATGTAAAAACCCCTATTAAGTTGCATTATACTGGTTTACATGGAAAAATCCCTATTAAGTTGCATTATACTGGTTTACATGGAAAAATCCCTATTAAGTTGCATTATACTGGTTTACATGGAAAAATCCCTATTAAGTTGCATTATACTGGTTTACATGGAAAAATCCCTATTAAGTTGCATTATACTGGTTTACATGAAAAAAAACCCTATTAAGTTGCATTATACTGGTTTACATGAAAAAAACCCTATTAAGTTGCATTATACTGGTTTACATGGAAAAATCCCTATTAAGTTGCATTGTACTGGTTTACATGGAAAAACCCCTATTAAGTTGCATTATACTGGTTTACATGGAAAAATCCCTATTAAGTTGCATTATACTGGTTTACATGGAAAAATCCCTATTAAGTTGCATTATACTGGTTTACATGGAAAAAAACCCTATTAAGTTGCATTATACTGGTTTACATGGAAAAATCCCCATTAAGTTGCATTATACTGGTTTACATGGAAAAATCCCCATTAAGTTGCATTATACTGGTTTACATGGAAAAATCCCTATTAAGTTGCATTGTACTGGTTTACATGGAAAAAACCCTATTAAGTTGCATTATACTGGTTTACATGGAAAAAACCCTATTAAGTTGCATTATACTGGTTTACATGTAAAAACCCCTATTAAGTTGCATTATACTGGTTTACATGGAAAAAACCCCTATTAAGTTGCATTATACTGGTTTACATGAAAAAACCCTATTAAGTTGCATTATACTGGTTTACATGGAAAAATCCCTATTAAGTTGCATTATACTGGTTTACATGGAAAAATCCCTATTAGGTTGCATGATTACACTGAAGTCCTTGAAACTGCTGAAGTCCTTGAAACTGCTGAAGTCCTTGAAACTGCTGAAGTCCTTGAAACTGTTGAAGTCCTTGAAACTCTTGAAATCTTGAAACTGCTGAAATCCTTGAAACTGTTGAATCCTTGAAACTGTTGAATCATTGAAACTGTAGAAATGTCTGAAAGAGCTGAAGTCCTATTAAAATGCATGGGCCTATTAAAATGCATTGCAGAATTCTCAATGCAGATTTTTGTCCGATTGCGGAAAAACCGGAAATCGCTGAAGTCCCAAAAGTAATAGCAATAATCTCCCAAACATGTGGAACGTTTTGATGTATAACTTGTGGAAATTGTTGAAAATGTGAAAGCTGTGAAACGTGTCAAAAAAAATGACGGAATAAAGAAATACAAAACCAATGGTTGACTGCGGAAGGTTCCGCAGTCAATCAATAATCTCCCAAACATGTGGAACGTTTTGATGTATAACTTGTGGAAATTGTTGAAAATGTGAAAGCTGTGAAACGTGTCAAAAAAAATGACGGAATAAAGAAATACAAAACCAATGGTTGACTGCGGAAGGTTCCGCAGTCAATCAATTATCTATTTCATTCTTTCACTGATTGAAAAACAACCCTGGCTTTAATTGATTGACTGCGGAACCTTCCGCAGTCAACCATTGGTTTTGTATTTCTTTATTCCGTCATTTTTTTTGACACGTTTTCACAGCTTTCACATTTTCAACAATTTCCACAAGTTATACATCAAAACGTTCCACATGTTTGGGAGATTATTGCTATTACTTTTGGGACTTCAGCGATTTCCGGTTTTTCCGCAATCGGACAAAAATCTGCATTGAGAATTCTGCAATGCATTTTAATAGGCCCATGCATTTTAATAGGACTTCAGCTCTTTCAGACATTTCTACAGTTTCAATGATTCAACAGTTTCAAGGATTCAACAGTTTCAAGGATTTCAGCAGTTTCAAGATTTCAAGAGTTTCAAGGACTTCAACAGTTTCAAGGACTTCAGCAGTTTCAAGGACTTCAGCAGTTTCAAGGACTTCAGCAGTTTCAAGGACTTCAGTGTAATCATGCAACCTAATAGGGATTTTTCCATGTAAACCAGTATAATGCAACTTAATAGGGTTTTTTCATGTAAACCAGTATAATGCAACTTAATAGGGATTTTTCCATGTAAACCAGTATAATGCAACTTAATAGGGATTTTTCCATGTAAACCAGTATAATGCAACTTAATAGGGTTTTTTCATGTAAACCAGTATAATGCAACTTAATAGGGATTTTTCCATGTAAACCAGTATAATGCAACTTAATAGGGTTTTTTTCATGTAAACCAGTATAATGCAACTTAATAGGGATTTTTCCATGTAAACCAGTATAATGCAACTTAATAGGGATTTTTCCATGTAAACCAGTATAATGCAACTTAATAGGGTTTTTTCATGTAAACCAGTATAATGCAACTTAATAGGGTTTTTTCATGTAAACCAGTATAATGCAACTTAATAGGGTTTTTTTTCATGTAAACCAGTATAATGCAACTTAATAGGGTTTTTTTCATGTAAACCAGTATAATGCAACTTAATGGGGATTTTTCCATGTAAACCAGTATAATGCAACTTAATAGGGTTTTTTCCATGTAAACCAGTATTATGCAACTTAATAGGGATTTTTCCATGTAAACCAGTATAATGCAACTTAATAGGGTTTTTTTCATGTTAACCAGTATAATGCAACTTAATAGGGTTTTTTCATGTAAACCAGTATAATGCAACTTAATAGGGTTTTTTCATGTATAATGCAACCTAATAGGTTGCATTATACCACCAGACCAAGACCCAAACGAAGACTCAGACCACCACCAGATAATGACCACAGACCAGGTTTCCTTAGTTACAGGAACCAAATTGTTTCAGCGGTGAGGGGATTTTTCAGTTTCAAGGACACTTTCAATACATTCAGTAGTTTCAAGGATTTCAGCTGTTTAAGAATTTAACCAGTTTCAAGGATATCAGGAGGTTCAAGGATTTCAGGAGTTTCCACACTTTCAACAGTTTCCAGGTTTAAAAAAGTTTCAAGGATTTCAGGAGTTTCAATGTTTCAACAGTTTCAAGGATTTCAGGAGTTTAAAGGTTTCAACAATTTCAAGGACTTCAGGAGTTTCAAATATCTATCAAGTATTTTAACAGTTTCAAGGCTTTTTAAAGGATTTCAAGGATTTTTTTTAGCAGATTTCCACATTAGATCTGTTCCGCAGTCAATCGCAATGGCTTCAGCCATTGCAAGTTTCTAGTTGTTTATAAAACAGATGTTACATGTATTTATTCTGATATAATGCAAAGGAATCAACACAACCCTGCAGCATCCACAGAAGTGGCCTATTTTCTGACTGGGGGAGACTGGGGGAGACTGGGAGAGACTGGGAGAGACTGGGGGAGACTGGGGGAGACTGGAGAGACTGGGGGAGACTGGGGGAGACTGGGGGAGACTGGGGAGACTGGGAGAGACTGGGAGAGACTGGGGGAGACTGGGGGAGACTGGGAGAGACTGGGAGAGACTGGGGAGACTGGGGGAGACTGGGGGAGACTGGGGGAGACTGGGAGAGACTGGGGGAGACTGGGGGAGACTGGGGGAGACTGGGAGAGACTGGGAGAGACTGGGGGGAGACTGGGGGAGACTGGGAGAGACTGGGGGAGACTGGGGGAGACTGGGAGAGACTGGGGGAGTATCGGTCATGTCTTGAGTATTGAGCCTTGAGTCATGTCTTATCAGGTCAATGTATGCATTAACTGCAGCACAGAGATGTCTGTCTTTGTCTGCTGTCCAAACACAAATGTTTTGACCTACTGTTCACTAACAGATAACAATAAAACCTACTGGATATGTCATTTCTGCCATGGTTGTGGAGTCTGGGGGCCCGCTGGGGGCCGCTGGGGGCCTGCTGTAGACTGTAAGGTCAGGAGTCATAGATGCTCTTGTCAAACATTAAGGCTTCTGCTCCGACGATGTTTATGCATCCAGAGATTTGGTCTGAATGATTTTCCATTTCTCCTTAGCACTGTTTCCTCCTGCATGAATTGTGCCATACAAATAAACGTTGTCTTTTTACATCGAACCTTTCCCACACAGTACTCAGTTGGATTGTTTTCTTGAAAATGCATAAACTGCACTGCAGTAATTGGAGGCGCCTGGTTGTCCACAGTTGTCCACAGGGGGCGCTAACGCAAGTGTAGAGATAAAGTTAAACTATAGAAGCATGTACGGACCAAACTGTATGTGTGAAATGCTGTTAGCCTGTGTTAGTGTTGTTGTGCTGTTAGTGTTGTTATTGTGTTGTTATGGTGTTGGTGTTATTGTGGAGAGGTGTATTATCATGTCACTGTCAGTTTGTCTAATAAAGTTAAATAAATGATTCCAACGCCTCGGCACAGGTGAAGGACTGGACTCGTGGGTTTCTCTGTTCTCTTTCATTATTTACAAGTCTAACCCCTGACCCACATTCAGTGTGGCCACTGCAGGCTCAACATAAACCTCCATCTCTCATCTGCACGCTGATTGGACGGCCAGGGCGGCTCGGGAGCGCGCAGAGGTGGACGCGCTTGGGCTGTGTTTCCAGGAGATTCTCCTGCGTGACCGCGCCACCGACCCCTCCTCCTGCTTTGCCTTTTGCTCTAATGCGAAATAAGGAGCTTGTGATGCGCGCTCCCGATGAAAATCTGTGTCCGGTGCACCCGCCTGAGGAATGCGCGCACACGTCCGGCCCCTTGGTCTCGGGCCGTCGCTAATGGCACCACTGTTATGGGCCACTTTAAATAACTGCTTTTTATTAAACATGTTTTAGGGGGATTAAGCAGAAGTCAGGATGTCCCGGAAGCAGCAGGTAACGTTTGTCTGATGAAGATGCAGCTTCATCATCACTCTGAAGACCACCGGACCCACCGGACCCACGCTCCGTGACCACATCCCGAGGCCGTTTCCATCGGACTTTTCAGGCTCAGTTCAGTCCAAAGGGATCAGTCTGTTTCCAGAGGAGTCTGTGATTCTGCCTCTTTTCCTGCGTTAGTCCCGAAGCTGCAGATAAAGAGTGGATTGTAAATGTAGAGAGCGCAGTCTGCAGCTCAGACCTCCGTGACATCCGTGCACCGGGAGCCGTGATGTACGCGGGACGCAAGAGGAGAAAGCCCGTGCAGAGAGCGTAAGTCCAACACAAGGACGACAGCTGCTTTTACATTTATATTTATATTTAAGTTTGACTGTGTGCGTTTATGACTCCGACACAGAGACAGATTCACTGTTTAATTAACCAAAGTTCCTGTAGACCATAGGTTCTGGACCCATCTTTAGAACACGGCCTCTCATGTTCTGCTTCAGGGTTTAAGCAGAACACCGTGGGTTCAAATCCTGTGCGCTCTAAAGCTGTGGATTATTGCCGAGGCCTGCACGGCCTGTTTTAACCTTCAGCAGAGCCCTGTTCATGCAAATCCCCGTGAGACACGGAGGAAACCCTCTGGGCACGAACACTTCATCTGCGTCTTCATCCGAACCGTTTGGATTATTTATTTATTATTGACACACTGGGCTGAACCCCAGCAGCAGCGCATTGGCTCTGGAGGCGCACCTGCCTGCGCCTTTCTGCCAATATACGCAGTGGCCCGCACCAGAAGCCCGCATCACGGGGCCCTCACGGGGCCCTCATGAAGCCCTCACGGGACCCTCACGGAGCCCTCACGGGGCCCTCACGGGGCCCTCACGGGGCCCTCACGGGACCCTCACGGGGCCCTCACGGAGCCTCACGGGGCCCTCACGGAGCCTCACAGGACCCTCATGAAGCCCTCACGGGGCCCTCACGGGGCCCTCACGGAGCCCTCACGGGGCCCTCATGGAGCCCTCACGGGGCCCTTATGGAGCCCTCAGGGGGCCCTCATCATGCGGGAGGGACGGATGCAGCGTTTATGTTGCTCTCATCTTGAAACAGCCTATAATAATTAATATTTTGTTAATATTCGGGCTAATATCAGCCAATTATTATTCAGCCTAAACACGTGATTAGAAAAATAAATAAAAACATTAGAAAAATAAACGTTACTTTTGGACAGATTCCGTATTTCTCACGGAATCTCTCTCTTGGACCAGAACTTTCCTTTTCAGAGCCAGAGCTTTATGTTGTGTCACGAGAACATTCCACAGAATCCCTGTAATAAGATTATTATGTTTTATTAATAACAATAATTATTTTATAATATTTCAACCAAACTTTAAACCAAAACCATCTTCATTGTTGAAAGAA